GGCTCTTTCAATTTCGTGTGTCTGGCAAAGTTTTCATTAGTGTGTTTTCTCAGTTTTTTCCACCAATTTTTTTTTTTATTGGTTTCCAGGCCACTTTTGCTTTCAGACGTGTTAATTAGGTGCCATTTGCTGTTGCTGATTTGGGCTTAAAGATTTCTGTGCTGCGGTCATGAGTTCGCTTCATTCTGCACAGATCTGGCGGAAATGTATTCGAATATCTTCATGTCAAATCATTTGCTTTGATGTGGCAAAGTCTCATCAATTGTTCTGCGCACGCTGCACGTTTCCCACAGATTCGGTTTCGCTTTCGCATAATTCTATGGCCCCCCGGCCCGCACAGCCTCCGCCAAGTTCTAAGCACATTTCTGAATGAGTTTCTCAGTTGAGAGAATTTCGTAAAGAGAGAATTCAAATTGCAGGAGGGCCCCATGTCGAGGTGGCAACGACCCCAGCCCATGCAAGCACGCAACACAAAGAAGCCGCAACAAAAGCAACAACAACAACAAAAGCAACATTGATGATTGATTAACATCAAATTAGCTGAACAGCAGGCAACAGCAGTGCTTAAAGATACTGCACTTTGAGATACAGATACAGCTAGAACTAAATGCAGCTATAGAATTTGAAGATTCAATTAAAATGACAGCCGAACAGTAGCTAATTGCGAGTGAAACTTAAGTTGTGCAATCGACTAATTGCGCATTTGTTGTTGGCCATAAAAGTACAGCTCAATCTATTGTATAGATATATATGCGATAGATAGATATACATATATATATATAAATATATTTATACGATAGATATGGCAGCTACTTGTAAGCCGCAAAGTAGTTCAGGGGCAGCTTAGCGAGCGAGTTTATCAAAAGGCAGCTGTCGGACAGACAGTCTGAGAGTCAGTCAGTCAGTCAGTTAGTCAGTCAGTCAGTTAGTCAGTCAGTCAGTTAGTCAGTCAGTCAATCATTCAGTCAGTCAGTCAATCAGTCAGCTTTACTTATAAGCGAGCTTTGCGAACAAGTTTATAAAAAGGCAGCTGTCGGACAGGCGGAGAGTCAGTCAGCCAGCCAGTCAGTCAGGCAGTCAGTCAGGCAGTCAATCACTCAGTCAATCAGTCAGTCAACCACTCAGTCAGTCAGCTTTACTTATAAGCGAGCTTTGCGAACGAGTATATCAAAGAGCAGCTGTCGGGCAGTCAGTCAGTCGTTCAGTCAGCAGTCAATGTGCATTAACATTTACATCGAACTGCATTTCAATTTTTTTTTTTATTTTTTTTAATTAATTAATTGCAATTTGTTATTGTAATTTGCCAGCATTGACACAGTTTTTGCAGCGTTAAATTAAATAAAATGAAAACTTTCATTTTGTTATGTTTTTTTCTTCTGTTTTTTGTTGTTGTTGTTTTCATTTAAATGTCGGCTTTTCCGGCGAGCAAACTTGACATTTACAGGCGACTGCGCAATTTTCAATTGATTAAGCAATTTTATAGTTTTCCCAACAAAAGCCAATGCCAAAGTTGTTGTCGTCGAGTTGTCGTTTCGATAAGCACTTTTCCAAGCAAGAGATTGATTAACAATTTTCATTCGATTCATTGCAACTGCCACAATTTTTAAGTATTTTGCATGCACGCGCTCGTAAAAGGCCGCCATAAATTGCCACGGCTCAAACTCCCCTCTTTCCCCTTCCTCTCCCTCCCTTCCGCCAGCTACCAGTTATATACATAAAGATTTTTTAGCGTGCGCGCTAATCAAAGCGCTAAATGGCAGCCAAAGCCTGCATCAAGTTCGGTTTTATTTATTGCGAGGCCCCAAACGCAGTTTTGTTTTTAGCGATAGCTAAAACTCAAATGGCTATAAAATGGCTGACTAATAGATCTCTAAACGCAACTCAAGCTTCAACTTTGGGTAGCAAAAAACACAGTAAAATAAATAGGACACGTGGTAGGTTATCGTTCTACAATAGCTTTTGTGTTTATTATCCAATTGTTATAAACTTTTTAAGATACAAACCAAATGTTAACATATACCAAATATCTTTGTGAACACTAATGGCAAATTTGATGACCCTAGCAGCTGTTATCAAAGGAATATACTCTCGAAAGCAGATCCGCAAATCGATATTAATTGAATTTTCGATAATGGAAGATGTTATCGGATCTACTAGAACTGCACACAGTAAATCGCATGTCTAGCTATTGTTCAATGTTTAAAAGCAGATCTGATGATCGATATTTATCGATTTTGTCGAAAACGGGAGCTTATATCATCAGAAAATAACCTAGTTCTGAAGACAATAAGGCTCATGTCTACCTTAGGCCCATTTTTAATGCGTACAAGGGATAAAAACAGATCTGAGAATCGATATTATTTGATATTTTGCTAATGTAATATGTTATCGATAATAAGATTAACTAGTTCTGTGCACAATAAGCCGCATGTCTAGCTATTGTCTTTGTTCAATGAGAACAGAATCTGAGAATCGATATGTATCGATTTTTCCATAAAAGAAGTTATCGAAAATAAGCTGAGCTAATTCTGATCACAATAGGGCGCATATACAGATAGAAAGTCCCATTTTCAATGTTAAATAAAATAAGTTCTGCTCACAATAAGCCGCATATAGTCCCAGTGTTAATTATTCAAAACGGATCTGAGAATCGATATCGAGAGCTGTTATCGAAAATGAGCTAAGCTAGTTCTGCGATATGATATGCCACATGTCGAGCTCTCATCCGGATTTCAATGATTGCAGGGTATATGTAAAAATACATTTTTTCAAATAAATGTGCACGAAAAAATAAGCAGATAAAGTTCGACTTAGAAAAAGCTGGTTTGACGATGCGCTGTGAAAAGTATTTAACAAAAGAAAAAGTACAAGTTCTTTGACGTTTTTTTTGTTTTTTATTATTATTGTTTTATTCTATTTAATGCTTCAACAATAGCAATGATAAAGCTGGTTTTGCCTGCGACGTGAGAACTGACAACTGACAACTGACTGAATTTTGGTTTGGTTTTCCACATTCTTTTGGCTGATTTTACCTTTCGCTCTGACATTTTGCGCACTCATTTCCTTTTGCTGGGCTGGGCGTGTGATGAGCGATGGATGCGCTAAGAAGATCTTATTTATCATGCGATGACATGGCGGCACATGATGAAACGCGGCCCTCCCTCCCCAAACACATGGCTCACAGATAGGCCCGAGTTGGCGACAGGGCGATGCCTCGAGCGTATTTAACCCCTTGCCTTGGCCGAGAGTGTATTGTGTACATTTAATGGCGCATCATAAAAAAATCCCCGAAATCCTCGGGCGACAACATCAAATTATTAAACATAAATTTCCGGCCATTGCCGGTTGGCCTTTTTATGCACGTAATTTTCCAACAATTTATCATTCGGTTTGCTTAAATTGCTTCGATGACACAAAACTGGGCAACGTCCCATTGGACTCGGCTTGCGGGCGGGAGGGGGGCGGTAGGCGAGTTTCTTCGGGAGTTGGGGGTCACGGGTCGCAGCTGCTCGCCTATAAATATTTCGTCGTCTAATTGTTTGGCAAGCCCCGAGCTCAAAGGCTGCCCCCCCCTCCCCTCTCCTCCATCTGCTCCCAACTCTTTAAAAAGGGGTTGTCAACGAGCGTCTGTGGCCATAAAGAAAATGCTGCCTTGGTTCGTATCCTTAAACGAATCTCTGCCTCCAGCCTCCTGCCTCCTGCCTCCTGCCTCCAGCCACTTCAATGTCTGTGTCCGTGTCTGCGTCTGTGTCTGAGTCTGAGTCGCAGTCGCAGTCGAAGTCTGTATCTGTGTCCTAATGAATTTACGCACACACGTCGTCATTGTCGTCCTTTTGTTGCACAGTGGCACAAAGTGCGTTTACGCTTGACGAATTTTCAAATATAATATTTGGTAAAGTTGTTTTTAATGCACCAAGACTATATTTTAGGGTCTAATTTGTTGCATAGCACATTCTAGCCCACTGTGCAGCGCTTTATATAGAATATAAGGTAAATAAGTGGGGCCCACAGGTTTGTGACTTCAGCTTTCATGTTGTCAATTAATATATTTTTTTAATATATAATGTTTACCATTTTAAGCATTTCTAGCCCACTGTGCAGCAGCGTCTTTAATATAATATTTGATAAATAGGCAAAGGCTACGAATTTTATGCCTCAATACCTTTTTTACTAAGGTTTTATTTTTCTTAGTGGATATTTTTGAACAAGTTTAGAGCGTGCTTAGTCCACTGTGCAGTGCTACCTTATAGAATGTAATGTAAATATACAGAACTTACGTTTTTAAACCTTCATATTTTATATTGCCGATTTATATATATTTTTTGAAATATATAATTTCCACAAATTTCGAGCGCTTCTAGCCCACTGTGCAGTGTTATCTTCTTATGGAAGGCTTTTATTCATAGATATTTTTCAGCAATTTTCGTGCGCTTCTAGCCCACTGTGCAGCGTTGTCTTTGGTGCTGTTCGTGCAGCGTCTGCGTCACATAAATTGTCCTTGCCGCCTTTTTTTTCTCTCTGTTTCGCCAAATGGCAAATGCGCAAAATATTCTACGCTGTTGGCCATCCACATCCGCATCCGCATCCGCCTCCTCCAGCTCATTCACATCCTGAACGTCATCCTCATCCTCATTCTCATCCTCATCCTCATCGTCGTCGTCATCGTCTGGTCGTCTCCTTTGCCTGCTTTATTGTGTTCGGTGCGCAAATTTTTGGTCTTTCAGCTCATAAATCAAAAACATTACAACAATTGTGTCTCGCACTGTGTCTTCGCGCTGCGCTTTTGTTGCCGCTGCCGTTGTCCTTGCCACAACCAATTTGCACGCGCCACGAAACAAAACAGCTGCCAGTCCTTGCCTCTGACCCTGTCCCTCCTCCTATCCCTCCTCGTCCTCCTCCTCCTGGTCCTGGCCCACCTGCGCGGAAAATTGTTATACCCGAAAATTGTGCCACCAGCTGCAGCTGAAAAACTAACAAAGGCAATTCTTGATTATTTGCAGATCCCCCTCGGAGCGTTCCGGCAAAGGTTGCTGTGGCCAATGGTTCGCTGGGCCGCCGCTGCGCGCTCTCATTGCTGTTGTTGCGCTTGGGGGCGTGGCCTGTGCCCTCGGCGGCGCTGCACTGGGCGCCACGGGTCTGGCTGGCCCGCCAAATTCGCATCTGACCGCCGCGCTGCTAATGATTGGTAAGTAAAAACTATCTCAAGTCGCTGACAATTACGTAAGAGTGAGACAGTGTGTGTGTGTGTGTGTGTAAGTGTGTGTGCACACTCGTTTATAGTCCATATAAGCACGAGTCGAACAATTGATGGGGTCACACAAAAATGGCATTAAAATGTTGCCTTTTCGCGATGTTTACACAATGTTGTTGTTGTTGTCGCTGTTATTGTTAATGTTGTCTGTGCATTTGTTGTCGCTTTTGTTGTTGTTGTTGTTGTTGCTGTTGCCTCACACAGCAATTTCTACAATTATAACAGGCTTTGGGTTTTTCTCTGTTGCCCTTTTGTAATGGGCGCGTCTCTGCCTGACCCAGTTCGAAGAACAAACAAATTTTGTAAAGACACTAAATGTGTCAATATTGCCAGAGAGAGGGAGAGCGAGAGAGAGAGAGAGGGAGAGGGAGAGCATTTAGTTCCGGCTACGAGTTTTATCAGCCCAGATAGTTGGTAAATAAATATTGGCATTGTGTGTTTGTGTGGGTGGCCTATCATCTCCTATACAGATCTGTGGGAAATACGCCGAGATCTTTGCTTAAACATTAAGTGTGGGTTAGATTGTAAAAGTAAACTGCTCCAAAGAACTTTAGCACAATTGCATTTGAAAATAAGCAGTAAAAAAATATATATTTTCAAGCTGCCGAACAATGCCAGAGATATTTAACAGTCAAGTATTTCAACTACAACTAAATGTGGCTGTTTTTTTAGGGTTGTTTTTAAAGTGAGTTTCTGTTAAGGTACTAGTAGACATTTGCCAAACGATTTAGCAGATATGTGAGAATAGTAGAGCAGCAGAGTTTAACTAAATAAAAGCCTAGTTTAGTCGAGATATCTTGATAAACAATGAAGTTTTCCTATGGCAGCTATGTATATGATTTAGTTGTCCGATGTTGATAGGATTTTGCATATACATATGTAAGGGGAGGGCTAATAAGGAAAGACTAAAAAATGGCGAGTTTATTTTAGATATCCTGTAATGACAGCTATATGATATAGTGGGCCGATCCGGCCGTTTCCGACATATGTATTACCTGCAATAGAAAGGCGAACCTATGCAAAGTCTCAAGACAATAGCTTTAAAACTGAGAGATTAGTTTGCATAGAAACAGACAGTCGGAGGAATGGATAGAAGGACATGGCTATATCAACTCGACTGTTGATGCTGATCTAGAATATGTCTCTTTCTATACGTTATACATTTAATGACAAACCTATAATACCCCCTTCTTAAGAATAATGAATGTCTTACTATGAGTAAGAAAGAGACAATTGAGTCGTTGACTAGGTGAAACCTATCCAAGCTGTGGAATGCGAAAGAGGAGAGAGAGAGCTGAAGTTCACAGTTTGCTTGGATGTAGACCTTAAAGCCTTTCAGCTGATTAGCTCAGAGGCAAGAAGATTGACATTGCATGCAATTGGAGAATCTTATAATGTATATATATATATGTATGCTCTGTAGGTTCTCCCTGACTGCATACAAATGGAATCGAATGCAACTTTAAGGCTTTCGCGAGCGCTCAAAGCTTAGAATGTTTTTTCTTAAGACTCAACTGAAATTGTGTAGAATTTAATGCCATTTGGCTGAGTACTTTGCAGCGCACTTGTGATTGTGAATCATACGAGTTTTGGGCACACGCACACACACACATTCATGAGTCATTCATTCGGTTCTCTTTCGCTTTTCGCGCAGCTCACGTAACCAGAAAGCGGGGCCAAGTGCAGACCCAACACAAGTTCCGACTACGTTCCGGCTTTCCGTCTGTCTCCGGCTCTGCGTCTGACTCGGGGTCTGGGTCTGGGTCTGTGGGCATTACTTATGTATGCGTTGCTCTAATCAATTGCCGGTTCGCTCATTTTAGTTGGGGCCACTCGAAGCGTGACATTGCGCCATTTTCTGGCGGCAATTACCAAAAATTGTTGACTTGTAACGCAAAGTTTTACATAATTTAATGGCAATCAAGCCAGAGGCAACAGCTTACTACACACACACGCACACATGTCGCCTCTAATGGAGACAACTGCCGGGCACGCCCCGCAACCCCTGCCCCTGCCCCTGCCCCAGCCCCAGCCCCCCTGCTATACAGACGTCTCGTCACACTCATAACAAACGCACAAATTGCAGTCGCTTTTTTTCTCTTATTTTTGCCGTTCAGCTTTTTTGAAGCGCAAATTGCTCATGAAAATGTGCGACAACAACAAAAGCAACAACAACAACAACAACGGCAAAACGACAACAATTTTGCCTAATAAAAAAGATGCCTACCTCTATTTATTGTGGGCCATAATCAGCTACCGCTGGCAGCTTTAGGCTCCGACTGTGATCTGTGAAGGAGGTAGGCGGAGGTAGGCGGAGGGGGGGCGGAGGGGTTTTCGCTGCTGCTGATGAGACGCTCCAATGGCCGTGCCGCTGGCCGTGCCGCAGGCCGTGCCACATGCAGCTGTCGCTTGTCAAAAGGAAAAGCCTCGCGATTTGCAAAAAAAGTGAAAGTGGAAGCTGTGCCCCCACGGCTCAAGATTGACCACTGCACCCGTTAACCGTTAACTACCAATGCACCCCCCCCCCCCCATTCCCCCTCAATTTGTTATAAGTGGGCTGGTAATTGCGGGCCACGCCCACGCAGCATTTGACGTCTAATTAAATTGCGCGCAATTACAACAACAGCAACACGAAACACTTAATTGGACGCTTATTTTGAGTCATGCTTTTTGCTTTGCTTTGCTTCACGAACTAACTTAACTTTTTCTTTCTCTGCAGGAGTCGGCGTTGTGCTGGTCACTGTCAGCGGCGCCGCTTGGCGGATGACAGCGCCCGGCGGCCAGAGCTGCCTCGGCCTGGGCACCACCGTCGACCTGGCCCGCTGCGGACGTCGTCCGTGCACCCGCGGCGGCGGCGCGCCCCACGGACTGCTCTATCCGGAGTTTCAGCACCGACCGCCGCCGCCCTCCTACCAGGCCAGCATGCAGGAGTATCGTCTGAGGTGAGTCTGTGTGTGTGTGTGTGTGTGGCAAGGACAACAGCGGACATGCTCGGCTAACCGCATCCGCTTGCATGTCCTTGCGCAATTAATTGCATTATGTAATTATGCACTGCCTGAAAATGCACGGGTCTCTTGTTTTTTTTTACAACCTGAACCCTGAACTCTGAACCCATTGAAAATGTGCAAAAAGGATGTGAGGGCGTCGTGCGAGTCGTGCATAACAGCCAAAAGCTAGCATATCTGAATCTGAATAATCGGAATAAAGTATATAGATATATACTCGAACTAGTCAGAACGATCTACACATATCTATCTGTCTATCTATCTGTCTCTCAAATCTATCTGTTTATCTATCTGTCTATCTATCTATCTATCTGTGTGTCTGTCTGTCTGTCTGTCTGTCTATCTGAATAAACGGGTCGATCTCACAGACTATTAGAACTAGATATTTGAACTTATGAATGCAGCCTTTACTACTGCTCGCAAAATAAGAGTTTATTTCAAATCAATAATAACTAGACCTGATTCAATAAAAGCGATAAAAATCGATAAGGATTTACTATTAGCTTAGCATGGCTCAAGGCGGAGGCTGAAGATAGAAAACTTGGGATATAGCAAAAGAGAGAGAGAGCAAAATGAGAGTAAACAGAGATCCAGAATGTTTCACTTTTAGAATATCTTCCTTTGTTCCGCACCTGAAAAAACAAGAGAAAAAGAAAACGCACTCTAATAGGCTTGGTCCTGGCCTTTGGTATTAATACAGATTCTTATATTATATTGAATCCCTGAAAATTCGATCAAGATCGGACAATATGCACCGAAGTTATTCGGGAACTCATTTCCTAAGTGAGGGGCATCAGAAATAAGGCAGAAGAAGAAGCAGCTTTTGCAACATTCGAGATGTTCAGTTTAACTTCTAGCTGGAAGCTGTTGCTTCCTCTGCTTCTTTTATTTTATTTTATATTAATTGAATTTCGATTTATTCAATATTATATTTGTTTTTTTTTCGCAGACTTTTGCTTTTGGACCGCGATCGCCAGAACGGAGTGGTGCGTGGCAATTCGCCGCCGCCAACCTATCGATCTCATGCCGGCAGCTTGCTGAGGTAAGTGCTCGCTTCCGATTAACCCCTTATCCCCCCCCCCCCATTCCCCCTGGCTACGCCCCTGCCACAGCCTAGCATTTTGGGTATTTACCGCGTTCGACACCCCTCGTGAGTTATTTGTAAAGTTTGGCGCTGCAACCACAAAATGTTTACAACGCACAGTTCGAGGTGGGAATAGGAACGCGTGAGGGTTGCTTGCGGCGGGACACGAGTGGTGGGGGAAGGGGGGGGGGGGGAGGCTGTTGGTGTTGCAGCATCAGCTGAAGCGTCAGCGGTTTGGCTTTGTGCGGTTTTCGGTGGGTGCCAACAACAACAACAACAACATTTGACACATTGCTTGGGGTTGGCCCACAAAAACTTTTGGCCATTTTTTAAGCCAAAAACTTTAGAAGCCTGTCAATGGTTTATTTGTTGTTGTTGTTGCTGTTGTTGTTGTTGTTGGTGCAAATGATTTTTGCTTGATTTCGAGTGGGCGTCAGTGAGGAATTTGCAACTTAATTGAATTGAGCACCGAGCGACTACTTCAAACGGGCGCCCAAAATGGCAAACAATTTAAATGCGCTACAATCCAATTGCCAGGCACTCCAAGTAGCAGGAGAGAGAGGGGGAGGGGAAGAGAGAGGGGGGGGGGAGGGGCAGACAAGGAGCAAATTGAAACAATTGAAATGACGACAACAAAATGGGGCGCCACAGCAATGAGAACTGAGAAGCGAGAAGAGAGGCAGTGAGACAGAGAGAGGGAGAGGGGGAGAGTGAAGGACTCCGACTCGGCAGGATAATTGCCGCTTTGATCGCATAATGGCTGCTAATTAGAAAAGTTTACTTTTTATTGCCGCACAAAAATATTGAGTTGCGGCCAAAGCCGTAAATTCACGCGCCGCTAAACACAGCTCGGAAAAACGAGTGCGAGGGTTGAGTGTTGAGTACTTGTGAGTACTCATGAATGTATTCACAACAGACAAATGCAAATTTATGGCAAATTAATTTGCTTGTAATGACGCACAAGGCCACATGCACTTAAATATTTATGTCCAATAATGGAAATGAAGGGACAACAACAAGAAGTAGAAGAAGAAGAAGAAGAAGAGGGCTGAGTAATACACATAAGCAGCTTAGCTGGCCAGGAAATGCATAAAAAGAAGTGGAAAACAATTGAAAATGCGAGAGACAAGGGCTATGCAAGACTTTAAGATACGATATCATTTCATTCATTTAAATAGAACCAATAGTAGCCAAAAAAAACCATGTGCTGAAGGAGTTTTCTAACTAAAGAAAACTTATATTTAGAATATACCCGAAGTTTAAGTAAAAGTTCCTTCTAAATTCAAGTATGAATGGACTATATTTCTTGTCGCGCTGTGCTAATATTTGTGATTACAATTCGTGCCAAAACATACTTAAATTAAGTATGAATATTTCTTTTAAAAAGTATACTTTGTTTAAGCACAATGTACTTATTACAGGAATTTGCATTTTTAAGAATGAAAGGAATGGGAATTTAATACATAATTTAATACATAATACATTTAATACATAAATATTCTTAAATTAAGCACAATTTTCTTTAAAGAAGAAAACTTTTTTTTAAACAAATTTGATATGTCCAGAATTTGCATGCTTGAAATAAGTGCAAGCAAAAGCAGAAAAAATTCTTAAATTAAGTTAACCATTGAGTCATGTCTTTAGACACTTCCAAAAAAAAGTCTTGAAACAAGAATTTTATTCTTAAGTAACAATATTCAGAGCACGTTTTTGCTTGATTCAACCATAAACTTCTTTTTTAAATCTTTCTCTTAAAAGAAAATTTCTAGAAACAGGATTTCTGCTATGCTAATATGCCCGCTGCATAGAGGCTCGTAGAGGGTGCAAAAGTGACAAAGAAGTATGTCAAAAAGCAAAAACTTATGCAAAGTGTGTGTGGCAGGGAATCAGAGCATACTTTTTGGCCAGGCCTGGTTGCTCTCAGTGTGTGTGTGTGTGTGTGCGTGTGTGTGTGTGTGTGTGTGTGTGTGCTGCGTGATGGCATATTCAAATATGATGTAAGAACTAACAAAGAAATCTGTGAAATTTTGCAAAATATTTACACACACGCGCGCACACACACACACGCACACACGCTCGCACACACTTGAAGTGGTTCTCTGTTGCATAACAAGCAGGCGTGTGTTAAAAGGCAATCTGCGACAGGCAGCCAGGCAAGGCCGGGCCGGGCCGGGCCAGGCCTGGCAAGGATTAGGGCCAGCATAGAGAAGGCAAACAATTGCCTGGCGAAGCTGTTAGCCAAGTCAATTAAACAAACAAAGACGAGGCCCAAGAGGAGTCGACTGCCTGTGAAAATTGCCTGTTATGCCAGTGCAGAGATAGACAGCGCAGAGAAATCGAGAGAGAGAGAGAGAGAGAGAGAGAGAGAGAGAGAGAGAGAGAGAGAGAGAGAGAGAGAGAGAGAGAGAGAGAGAGAGTGAAGCTGACGTCCTTGCTGCTTACTTAGTATTCAAGTATTTCGCATTTCCTTTCGCATTGAATCTTTGTCGGCAACAATTAAATGCAATTTTACATACTCCAAATTGCTTTATACAATTTTGAAATTTGAATTTTTGCCAAAAAGCCGACCGACCAATTTTCCATGTCTATAAATTGTTTTTGTTGTTGTTGTTGCTTTCTCCTGTTGACTGAAGTGTGAATTCTGTTGGATTTGGCTAGCCCAAAGACAATGCAGCGACTGGCAACAATTGGCCGAACGCCTTTTGTTATTTAAATTGACCAAGTCCTCTGCACACCGAACCGAACCGAACCGAACGGCCTTCCATCTGCTAGATACACAGAAATGTATCTATAGAGATAGAGTTGCACAGATACTTCGACTCGCCCCCCCCCCCCCCCCCCCTCACATGCAAATTTGTGCATTGACTTTGTCTCATGTCAGCCGCTGCGCAAATAATGCATGCTTTTGTTTTCCTGCGACTCACAACTCAATCTAAGGTTACGGCCAGACAGGCCGAGCGAATGAATCCCTGGCTTAAAGTCTTATCAAAACAGACACGAACTTGGTTAATCAGATTATCTGGCCAAAAGAATCGAGCAGACAGTCAGCTCGACGTGTCAGACTCAATATAATTTAATTATATTTTACTTATCAGAATTAACAAGTAAGAGGTTCTAGTCGGGAGCTCCCGACTAGGGGATACCCTGAACCCTCTTCTACCAACAGGCGACAGCTAAAAAAGGAAAGATACTTGATATATATATACTATTCTAGAAGCTGCTTGTCAAGTTTGGTGACTCTAGCTCATATTATTTACCAAAATTGCTAAAAAAAAAAACAGGATTTCGATATCGATATATTATCGATTACTTGGAAACGGGGCAAGTTATCGAACATGGGAAACAAACTCGATCTGCGTGGGCTAAAATTTCTCTAGCTCTTATAGGTTCTGAGATCCTTGCGTTCATACATACTGACGGACAGACAGACGGACGGACAGACAGACGGACGGACAGACGGACATGGCTAGATCGACTCGGCTGTTGATGCTGATCAAAAATATATATACATTATGGGGTCGGAGGTGCTTCCTTCTGCCTGTTACATACATTTGCACAAATACATTATACCCTTTTTAACCATTTTCAATGGGTTCAGGTTATAAAATTTACCCAACTTCTTGGCCAGTCTCAATCCAGCCTTAGTCTCATTCTATAACTGACTTAAAGCTTAACTAATACTTTATTTCCTCGGATTGCAGGGCGCCGTTGACCACACTACGCTCGGGCATAGGCGGCGGCGGCGGCGGAGGCGGAGGCGGAGGCGGAGGCACCATCAGCAGCAGCATGGGCGGCTCCGAGTACAGTCTGCCGCCGAGCTATCGCAGCCGGAATGCGACGCCCGCCTCGCTGACGCTGGCCAGCTGCGAGCGGACCATCGAGACGGCGCCATCGGGCCGGCTGCTGGCCAATGAGGATCTGCCGGAGCTATCGCCGGAGCAATTGCCCGACTACAGTGCGCTGCAGTCCAACACATTGCTCACCTCGGCCATTGTCGAAATCGAGTCCAGGAATCGCAGCCAAAACCAGGACACTCCGACGACGACGAAGACAACAACGACGGCGACCAAGGCCAAAGACCTGGTAACCATTGTGACCATATCCCAGGCGAACAACGTGCAGTCAGCTGGAAGGGCTCAGGCACAGGCACAGGGCCAGGTGCCAGCATCATCTCAGTCAGCACTCGACCAGATCGATATATTGGCCCACTTGTAGCCCTGCCACAGCGAAACTGAAATCAAGCGGAAAACAAGGCGCTTCATTTGAAAAGTCGCAACAGTCGAGTTTTCCTTTTCGTCTACGCATTCTTTTTTTTTTTTTGTAGTTTGTTTGTTTGTTAATCTTAAACACTCGTTAACCCAAAGGTATTTATTTGTACGATACGAAAAACTAAAAACTCTGCTCCTAAATGAATATATGATATATATATATAAACTAAACCCTAACTATAGTTCATGCATCTTTGATATATATATACCGATAAGCGGCATTTAGACACTAAGATATATATGTTTGTTGTACTTGAATGTGTTGAATTTATTTTTGTAAGCATCAGAAATGCGCTGCGTATCTATTACGAACTATCGTAAAAGTATTAAAATATTCCAAAAACAAAGCAAAAAAAAAAACAAAAACAAAACGAAACTATCCCCAAAAAACAGTTTAAAAAAAAAAAATTAACACAATTTTGTAAATAACAATTTCGAGTGCATTTCTAGCATGCGTTAAGTGTAGATTCTCCCCAACCCAATAGATATATATACGATATATATATATATATATATATATATAGGTATGTGAAAAACTCTGATGTAAATTCGCAACGGAACGCTACGGTGACAAATTTTGCGCGCATTTTCGAATAACGAATCAAACGGAAACTCTGAAACTGATTTCTGAATGCGTTTCAAACAAATAAAAATAAAATATATTATATAATATAAAATAAAATAAAGAGAAGATAAACCTAAAGATAAACTAAACTAATTACGAATCAATTGTAGCGCAGTTGCAGTTGCGTATGTTATCAATATTGAATACTGATACAGATCGTGCATAAGTACAATACAGTTAGCAAATAAATACTATATATATATGTATATGCTATATAAATATATAGAAATACTTGAATCCAACTTAAGGTCCTCTGTTTTATGTGCAAGGCTAAATAAACTAAAAAGCAAAACATCTGCAAAAATGTAATGTTGAAAAATGCCACAAAAGCCGCAAATTGTTTTTCCTTTCCGCCTGCCAGCGTTCAGCAACAAAAAGGCGTGGCCCCCACCCTCGCACACACACACAAACACCCACACACGCACGCGCACACATAACCATATATCCTGCTTAATCTAGCGTAAACTTGTATTGGCCCTGCGGCCCTTGTAGGCACGGTAAGTGGTCCAGCGATTAACACCCAGCACGCAAAAATGCGGAGCGAACACAAAAATTGACACCTTATTCCATTGGCCAGCGATATGTGAGGAAAATGGCATGAAAATCGCCTCCGAAAATGCCAAATGAAAACAACAAAACTTGGTTGAGCATGAAATTGCTCTTGGCTGTCGAAATACCATGCGAATATGTGTGTACACACAGAAGGTTGGCCTCAAAATGTGTGCGAGATATACACATTTAAAGTTTTGAAAAAAAAAGCGTATCTCCAAGTCGGCGCCACCCGAAATTGCAATTTTTTTTAGTTGGTTTTTGGCCATAGCGTGTAGGAAAGCATTGCATACTTTTGGTCCGCGCATAAAAATTACCATTCACAATATACGCATCACTCCAACATTTTATTTAGTGTTTTTTGGAAATATCTCGGCTAAATACAGTCTGATTTCGAAGTGGTACACCTCTTTCTACTCGCACGGATGCCGACTATCGATTGCCACCCAAAAGTCGGCATTCCAAGAGATGACCCAAAATCATCAAAAATACAGTGTAACCATCACGTTTTTTTCGAAAAATGACTTTTTTCTGAAATCAAAAAACTTTGATGCCATTCTATTCTATGGGCCTCCACGAGTTTAACGCGCCCAATCTGGCCGTTATCGGGCTTTATTTGGCCGAGATATAGCCATTTAAAGTTTCCCAAAAGGATTCGTGTGGTTGTGCACTTAGATATACGCATTACACCAATATTTTATTTAGTGTTTTTTGGAAATATCTCGGCTAATTACAGTCCGATTTCGAAGTGGTACACCTCTTTCTACTCGCACGGATGCCGACTATCGATTGCCACCCAAAAATCCGCATTCCAAGAGATGGCCCAAAATCATCAAAAATACAGTGTAACCATCACGTTTTTTTCGAAAAATGACTTTTTTCTGAAATCAAAAAACTTTGATGCCATTCTATTCTATGGGCCTCCACGAGTTTAACGCGCCCAATCTGGCCGTTATCGGGCTTTATTTGGCCGAGATATAGCCATTTAAAGTTTCCCAAAAAGATTCGTGTGGTTGTGCACTTAGAGTAAAGCAAAGCATTGCATACTTTCGTGCTGTCCACATAATACGATTGAGCCTACAAGAGTAGTTGTTCCACTGCATACTTTTGGTCCGCGCATAAAAATTACCATTCACAATATACGCATCACTCCAACATTTTATTTAGTGTTTTTTGGAAATATCTCGGCTAAATACAGTCCGATTTCGAAGTGGTACACCTCTTTCTACTCGCACGGATGCCGACTATCGATTGCCACCCAAAAATCCGCATTCCAAGAGATGACCCAAAATCATCAAAAATACAGTGTAAGCATCACGTTTTTTTCGAAAAATGACTTTTTTCTGAAATCAAAAAACTTTGATGCCATTCTATTCTATGGGCCTCCACGAGTTTAACGCGCCCAATCTGGCCGTTATCGGGCTTTATTTGGCCGAGATATAGCCATTTAAAGTTTCCCAAAAAGATTCGTGTGGTTGTAAACTTAGAGTAAAGCAAAGCATTGCATACTTTCGTGCTGTCCACATAATACGATTGAGCCTACAAGAGTAGTTGTTCCACTGCATACTTTTGGTCCGCGCATAAAAATTACCATTCACAATATACGCATCACTCCAACATTTTATTTAGTGTTTTTTGGAAATATCTCGGCTAAATACAGTCCGATTTCGAAGTGGTACACCTCTTTCTACTCGTACGGATGCCGACTATCGATTGCCACCCAAAAGTCGGCATTCCAAGAGATGACCCAAAATCATCAAAAATACAGTGTAACCATCACGTTTTTTTCGAAAAATGACTTTTTTCTGAAATCAAAAAACTTTGATGCCATTCTATTCTATGGGCCTCCACGAGTTTAACGCGCCCAATCTGGCCGTTATCGGGCTTTATTTGGCCGAGATATAGCCATTTAAAGTTTCCCAAAAGGATTCGTGTGGTTGTGCACTTAGATATACGCATCACACCAATATTTTATTTAGTGTTTTTTGGAAATATCTCGGCTAATTACAGTCCGATTTCGAAGTGGTACACCTCTTTCTACTCGTACGGATGCCGACTATCGATTGCCACCCAAAAGTCGGCATTCCAAGAGATGACCCAAAATCATCAAAAATACAGTGTAACCATCACGTTTTTTTCGAAAAATGACTTTTTTCTGAAATCAAAAAACTTTGATGCCATTCTATTCTATGGGCCTCCACGAGTTTAACGCGCCCAATCTGGCCGTTATCGGGCTTTATTTGGCCGAGATATAGCCATTTAAAGTTTCCCAAAAAGATTCGTGTGGTTGTGCACTTAGAGTAAAGCAAAGCATTGCATACTTTCGTGCTGTCCACATAATACGATTGAGCCTACAAGAGTAGTTGTTCCACTGCATACTTTTGGTCCGCGCATAAAAATTACCATTCACAATATACGCATCACTCCAACATTTTATTTAGTGTTTTTTGGAAATATCTCGGCTAAATACAGTCCGATTTCGAAGTGGTACACCTCTTTCTACTCGCACGGATGCCGACTATCGATTGCCACCCAAATATAAACATTCCGATTTAGTGACCAACTCGGTATTTTAAAAGGTCCGTAGTCCGTCGTAGTCCGAAGTAACAAACTCAACGAATTAAAACGCGAAAAAGATTTCGAAATTTATTAATCAATTGATTTTATACAAATTACAAACAATTGCAGATGCTCTCGAATCGGGTTACAACAAAAATTTAAAAGGTAGCGTTTAAATTAAATTTGTGGCTTAATAATTTATGGTCGCAACGAATTAGATAAGGTATTTCGTGAATTTGACAGCTGTCAAGCAAGCTGCGTTCCTTCGAGGTGACTACGCTCCGATTGGCTGCGGATTCGGTTGATGGATATATTCCTTATATCGATTTGAAATCCTTTCGCGCGGTTTGTTAGTTGGTTGGTCAACAGCATCGGAACTAAATAACTTTTGTGAAATACATACATATATATAATAAGCATAATAGGTGTGGTTCTCGTATATAATTCGATTATGATATGATGAATAAATAATATAAACATAGTGTGTGTGTGTGTCAGGATATATATATATATAGATATATAGATTGCTGCTGTGGTATCTAATTCGATTTCGTGTCGTTTGCAGTTTTTCATTTCCGTTCATTTAAAATTAGGATAACAGTTCAAAAAAACAAATTAAAAGGAAATTAAGTATAATAATTAGGCATCATTTACTTTGATAATTGCAATAAAAAGCTATGCGTACAGCTCACTGTTACGCTTGGGGCTTAGTTAAGAACTGTTGTTGCTAGTAAATCGTGTTGTTGTTGGTGTTGGTGTTGGTGTTGTTGTTGTTGTTAGTGTGCGTGATCCCTGAAGTCCATAGTCGAGCCGTTCAAGATCTGTTTAGACCTTAGCGCGCATGATTCTTGCAGAAGGGACGACCGCCCTTGTTGTAGAAGCTCTGACCCTCCAGGTTTTGTTTGCAGAACTGCACAGCAATATTAGAAATTAGAAATGGGTTTGAGAATGGATCCGTTTTGGGTCCGCGGACAGAGATACTCACGGTGCAGTTGAAGCATTGGCTATGATAGTTGTGATTGAGTGCCTCGACCCATCTGTCGCCGGCTTCGACGGGGAAGCCGCAAGCGAAGCACTTGGTGGTGAACAGTTCGTTCCAGTCGGCCTCGCAGTACGCATTGCCGTCCTCCAGGAAGAAGGGCGTGTTGCCGAAGATCTTGCCGCACTGGCCGCACGTGAAGCACTCGGGATGGAAGTGCTTGCCAATGGCGTTCAAGCAATCGCCCTGAAAAGAGTATTTGTAAAAGGGTGCATTTTTTTGTTTAATTGTGTTGGCAATTACCTTGATCTTGCCGGCGCACTTGCTGCAGGTGGGCGCCAGATACTTCTCGAAACAGTACTCGCAGTAGAGATCGCCCTTCTCCTCAACGAAGCCAATGTCCTGCAGCGGGCGACGGCAGTTGCCGTTCACGCAAATGAAGTGATCCGGGCACCAGATGCGGCCCAGGGCCGTAATGAAGGGACCCCTGTAAAAGGCAAACAGCAAGATTCAGTCGAAGGGATGAAATGAGCACGGAAAAGTGGACGACGAGTGGGCAGGTGCAGGTGCAGGCGCAGGCGCAGGCAAAGCTACTTACGATGTGATCTCCTTGTTGCACTGACAGCAAACCGGACGTTTGCCATCCTTGAGCAACTGACTTACGGCCTTCTCGTTCTCCTCGGACATGGGCGCCTGGGCGTCGCCCTGCGAACCCAGCGCCCGGACGCAGACGCTGAAGCTGGGCGCATTTTCCGGACTGTTCTTCTTCTCGTTATCATTGCTGCTGCTGCTGCTGCTGTTGTTGTTGTTGTTGTTGTTGTTGCTGGGCAGGCTCTGCTTGGGCTCGATGTAGGAGCGCCGATCAGCGGCATGTGTGGCGCCCGTGCGTCTCAGATTGTTTCTAAAGGCCACCGGCTCCGGCGCCTGCTGCGCCTGGCTGATCGTCGACGTCGTCGTCTTGCCACTATCACATATGTCGAGTATCTTGCTCATGGGATGCTGTGCGGGCAGCTCGGCCTGCAGCGTCTGCTCCACACGCGCCACCTGCGGCTGCGCCTGCTGCTTGCCGGGCTCACTCGGCAGCTGCTTCAGCGCAGGCTGCGGCGGCTGAGGAGGCTGCGGCGGCACAGCCACCACGGAGTGCAGGGCCACCGGCTGTGTGGGATCAATGTGCTTGAAATCGTCCAGATCGAGGCGCTTGCGC